ATTAGACAATTAGAACTCTACAGCTCCAATATAACATTATGGCAATATCATCATATATGTGGTTCATTGTCAGGAAAAGGTTATTATTCACTGCCTGATTGTAATTTACTCTGTCTTTGTTCTATAATCACAAATGAAAAAAATGATAAACTATAGAGAAACCAAACCAAGAGTAAAGGTCAAGTCGGACTCAAGGAAGGTTTGATAAAGAATGATATTATTTGGATTTTTTTTTCTGTTGTTTGTTTGTAGATAGTCTCAGTAGGTAGCCTAGCTCAGGGTGGTATAAACTTAGTCTTTTTGTCTCAGTCTCCTGAGTTTGGGTATTACAGGCATATAGCACCAAATGCCCGACCCAAGAAATGATGCTAAGATGGTATCTAAAGGATGAGATGCTGGAGGATGTTCTGTGCACTGTGTGTTCAAATGCTGATTTCCGTGCCCACAGATCTGCTTGCAGTGAGGAAATTGGCATCATCGTTATTATGAAGTAGCTCCTGTCTCAATATTGTGTAAAAATTGTTTTCCATCACTCCTGATTGGTTAATAAATAGCCGAACTGCCAGCAGCTGGGCAGGAGAGGGTAAGGCGGGACTTCCCAAAGGAATAGCCAAGGTGAGACTAAGATGGCAGGTACTAGGCCATATGGCTGGAAAGTGGACCAGGCCAGCGTAGTCAGGTTAGCATAGGCTTAGCTTTTTCAACAACCTTTATTTAGAGTTCTTAAAAGCCTCTACCTCCCTTCTAGTCCCGTGATTCCAGTGAGAAGGGAAAGTAGCTTAGTAGGAACAAGGGATGCAGACCTCTGTAGCAACTTTCTGCTGACTACAGTCTTTTGGTTCTTTGGGGCAATACCAATCTTTACTGTCCAGAGCCCAGAATTCCAGTCAAACAGCAAACAGTAACAGTGTAATGCCCAAGTCTCACGGACTCAAAGACCACCAAGTAGCCGATGCCGTTGTAAAAGCACTAGAGGCTTTTATTACAAGCTCGAGTCCAGGCCAACACCGTCAGTTGGTGTTGAGTGTAGAGCCCGAGCTTAGGGAGAGAGCAGCTTTTATTTAGGGTTACAGCAAGGCTTGGGAAATCCCAGCTTAGCAGTTACACAATTGGCTGTTCAGCAAGGGCAAGCTTGTTTCAAAGTGATTGTAGCTAGCTAACATGACTTAAATTGAGTGAGCTATCTATAGACCTCAGGAACATTAGGTATTTCTGTGCCTTTAATGTTCTGCTATAAGGTCAGTGGGCTGTCCAGCACAGATGTCCCACCCTGAGATAAGATACTTTCCCATTCTTGTCGTTACCTCCAGGCTATTCCTTGGGTAGGGCATTGTATTGTCTCATTCCTGGAATTGGTGACCTATGGTCTAGTTCCTGGGACTAGTGATTTGTGGGGTTGGGGAGTCAGGCCTGGTTCTCTCAGCAGCAACCTGGAAGTGTTCTCTGGAACCTTTCTCTCTAGGAGCATCTTGAAGCAAAATGAACCGAAGTGATGTGAAGTGTTGCAAAGCAACTCTCTCTGTCTCTGGGCTCTTATTTCTACTTTCTCAGAGTCCAAACAAGGATGTCTTTCAGCTGGCAAAACCCATGCCCCTTGCAGGAGGCAGTATCCAGCTGGAAAAATGTCACACACTGGTCTATTTTCAGCAACAAAGACCACACCCCAGCATGAGTCTGTTTTCAAAGGTGGATAATGCATTTCCACATCCCACACTTGGGACCAAAACAAAACAAAAACAAACAAACAAACAAAACCACACCAAAAAACAAAACAAAACAAAAAAACGCACTCACATAACACAACTGAGTGTTTAAAGAAATAGAAACTTCCACTACAGGTTATAATAGCTCAGTATCTGTTCAGCTATAGTGCCAGAGCTTTTTATAAAAACAATAGGTCTCCATGCTGATATTATTCAGACACTAGGGTGGGCACAGAAAAAAACAACCTTGCATTTTGCACAAGAATAAGTCAATTACACAAATCATTTTTCAAATATAGTGTCAATATGGAAAAGGTCATGTGGTGAGGACAGGTATGTTCAAGCAAATGAAAAGTTATAAATGTTATAAAAATTTGGATAGAGACTGGAATAAGGCTGGACTGGTGGGAGATGGTCACTCAATTTTTGCACTGGTCATCTTAGGGCAGCCCAATAGAATACCCGATGCTTAAGTAACAGAAGTTTAGTTTCTTACTCTTCTGGAGGCTGAGAGTCAGATTAGGATGCCTACATGGTAGGGTTCTGGTGATTATCACCTTCTTGGCTTGAAGACGCCTACCCTCTCTGTTTTTATACAGTGGTGTTTTTATATGGCAGAGAATGAGTAGGGGACAGAGGGAGGGCAAGATTTCTCTCCTATTAAAGGGCTATGTCCTATCAGATTACAGCCCTGCCTCCTAACAATATTCTCTCTGGATATGACCACATTTGCATGTAAAAACTCCAAAACATAAATGGTGAGTTAGGGGGGACAAAATTCAGTCCTCAGCAAAGGGCAACAAAAGTCGTTAATTTACACCAGTGAGATGGTATGATCACATTCGACAAGGTAATCTGAGATGCAGCCTAGACACTGGGCAGAAGTGACCCTGAAGGAAGGGAAGAGGTCTTCCCAGCGGCTCAGTTAAACCCAGACTGCATTTCTGTTGAAATAGAGAACTAGACTAGTCCAGATGTAAAGCTGAGCAGACAGAGCACTTCATGGATATGAAAATGAAGACATTAGCACCTGGGACAGGGCTCAGGGCTTCACACTGCTTACCTGAATGAGTGAGAATGCTGTTAGACAGGGAAACTTGAAGGAGGTTAAATATGAAGGAAGGATCACAAGCTCCTTCCATATCTGGAACATCTCGGGAATGTTTGAGAGATTATTAATCCCTTTGAGTGATATTTTTAAATTATGATCATTAATACTAAATACATAAGCAATTACTTCCTAACTATCAGTGTCTTAATACAATGAAAGTACTCCTTCTTGGAGCTGACGTGAGAAAAGAGATGTCGATAGTGCAACATCTGTTAAAGAGCAGGGTGGAGGGATGGGCCCCACGCTGGGTGCAGCCTCCTGCTGGGAGGAGGGCTCCTGGTCTGAGGCGCTTGCTGGCAGACACCTAATGTTTAGCACTTCGAATAAGTCAACTTTTTTCCCCAAAGAAATATGATCTTTAGTTGCTCCACTGGCATACAATGACAATGAAATACCCAGGACAGGCTATTTAGAAAGTGAGATATCCCTTCTGCGCTCTGGTTACGCAGGTTCAAGTCCAAGACTAAGTGGCCCCATTGGTCTGAGTCTCTGGCGATGCTGCCACATCAGGGTGGAGTGCTTGGTGGAAGAAGATACTCACATCTTAAGCCAGAAAGCACAGAGGGACCAACAGCCTCATAGTTCCTTTTCACATCTAGGACCTACCGCTTAAAGGCCCACCACCGAGGGACAGTGCTGTTTACAGGACTGAAGCTCTGAATCCTTGGACCTTTGGGGGTTGGGGGACATTCTTCATGTGTCAGACAGAACCTCTTGGTAAGTGTCAGCATTGCCTTGACCATCCATGAGGCCTTCATCATCTTTTCTTCTCTCCCAAAGTCTATCCCATTGCCATTTTTCTTGATTTTCTATGAATCAAAGCCCTTCTAATTTCATTGTCAATGATTTCAAATGTTACTGCCTTATTGAAGCCTTTTCTGTTTTTTTCTCCAACAAAGTAATGTTTTATGTATTTGATAGCATTCAAAGAAAAATCTCAAAGAAAAATGTCAAAATAAACATTACTATTTTATGATGTTGTGATTCATGTTTTACTGTTGTTATTCTTTTATTCTTTACAATTCTCCTCATGGTCTCTCTTTTTTCCTTTATTTGTCATCGTCATCACCATCATTATTTTTAATGTGTTTTAGTCGTCTTTGGTCGGAGGCAGTTTACAGTCGAGGCACGTGAATTCCAGGCCTGGGGCAAGCCTGAGCTACAGAGAGACCCACTCTCAAAAAAGAATCGTGTTCCATATAATTATTTGCCAAAACATGTAACATAAATTCCAAACTGATGAGTAACTGTGACTTTCCCAGATCCAAGAAGCCAGCTGTGTGGAGCGAGACGGTAAGTCTGGGGTAGAGGAGAGTGCAAAAGTTCTATGTTCTAGGTCGTGCGCCCGTGGTGGATTTTCCTGCAATTAAATTTCTCGAATCAAGAGAGAACTAGGTAGGATCAAGCTAGACTTTGGATCAGAGGCTGTTTTGAAGTCAACCAAGAATAAAAGACAACCGTAATACTCGTTGGAATTTGCTTTGATGTAGGACTTGGTTGCCAGTTCTTAAAGCTCTGGAGTTAGCCCGGTTTACTTTGAAGCTTTCGGAACTTCACAGAATTCCAGCAACGATCTCTAACCCGAGAGCGAGCCGTGGGCTGCACACGGCCTGGAATCTTTTCTTTGGGTTCTATTTTTTCAACAAGAAGAACGCGTCAGCTGGTCAGGTGAAACCTTTCCCCACGAGGTAGTTGCAATGAGCTGGGACAACTCCTAAGAGCCGCGACCCCTTTCTTCATCCCGCAGTCCCCTCCGCAGCAGCCAACGCTCGCGGCGGAGTCCGGGTCACCTGGCGTACCTGCCGACAGCCCCGCCCCCGCCCCGCCCCGCCCCCAGGCCCCGCCCCTCCATCTCCCCTGGGCGCCTGCCGCAGACCACGCCCCAGGTCACGCCCCTCCCCGCCCAGCGGGCGGTGGCTGCAGGCCCCGCCTCCGCCGTGAGGCCGACTCGCGGCCCCTCGAGCTCTGGCCCCGCCCCCGCCCGCTCCCCAACGTCCTCGGCGTCGAGCCCAAGCCTGCGCCTGCGCCTGCGCCCTGAGGCCGAAGTCGGGGCGCGCCTCGGCTGGGACGCCAGAGCGGCGGGCGGAGCAGCCAATGGGCGGCGGCGCTGCCCGGCGGCCGGGAGGCGGGGCCTGCGCGGGTGTCAGGTTAGCGCGAGGCGTGACCTAGTTGACAGGCTCCGTGGAGCGGCTGTGGCGGCGGCCGCGGGGCAGAGCGGGCGGGCTGCGGGAGGAGGGCGGCGGCGGGCGAGCGGCCGGCGGCGCGGGGCGCGGAGCCTCCGCACTTTCCCCCCGAGGGGCCCCTCCGTCCCCCGCCCTCCGCGCACCCCGCCTGCCCGTGAGCCTGGGGAACTTGCAGCTTAAAGCCGGCCACCCCCACGGCAGCATGTACCCCAGCAACAGGAAGAAAAAGGTGTGGAGAGAGGAGAAAGGTAACCGGCGCGCGGCCCCGGGCGGGCGGGTGGGTGGGGGCGGGGCCGGCGCGGAGGGCGCCCTCCCGGCCCCGCCGCTCCCGCCGGCGGC